GTTATTATTATTATTATTATTGTTGTTGTTGTTATTTAAACAAAAAAGTTGATGTTTTAACTTTAGTTTTGATCAAACCAACATGTTTTAAAGTTTTGTTTTAAAGTGACCTCATTTCCTCTTCATGTTTTCAGCTCAGCTGGTTTTTACTCTGAGTTCTTCTAACATGAGTCATGAAACCACTGCAGGTCAAAGGTCATCTGAAATATGAATTTAGAAAGCTGCTCGAGGCATGTCTCCAGTTTAATCTGTCCTGGTTCTGGAAACCAGAACCTCCTATCAGCTGCCTCCAAACACCAGGAACCAATCAGAACCAAGGATTATAAACCTCATTCTGATAAATTAATAGTTAACAAATATATGGTTGAAATTTTTGATTACATTTTATTCTACACTTTACTTGTTTCTCATTTTGCTGAGTCGTGGTTAATAAGACCAACATGTTCATTTTATTTAAATTTAAAATCCGAATGACTTCAACAGATAATTATCATCATTAACCACCAGTCTGCCTGTTGAACAAACTAATAATATAAATAGAAACATGAATATAATTATGATTATGAATATAAATATAACGTACATATAAAAATAAATATAAACATAAACATAAATGAAATATAAACATAAATATAAATATAAATATAAACATAAATACAAATATAAATACAAACATAAATACAATTATAAATACAAATATAAATACAAACATAAATATACAGTCATTTAAAGTGTAACATCAAGGAGGAGCTCCACACCAACACAGACCATCACATCAACTTTACATGAAGACTGGAACCATCTGGACTCTTGTAGACCTGAAACCTCATGTTGGTCTGTGGACAGAAGACAACCTTCTGAAGGACAACAAAGCTGCAGAAACCAGGTGTGCATGGCACAGAGTCAGCAGGAGAACCAGGAACACCTGAGAAAAAAGGTTTCTACTCTCATTATCAACTGTCAACACCTGTCAGACTCACACCTGTTATTAATCACACACCTGTCATTAATCACACCTGTTACTAATCACACCTGTCATTAATATTACCTGTTATTAAACACACCTGTCATTAATCACACCTGTTACTAATCACACCTGTCATTAATCACACCTGTCATTAATCACACCTGTCATTAATCACACCTGTCATTAATCACACCTGTTACTAATCACACCTGTCATTAATCACACCTGTTATTAATCACACCTGTTACTAATCACACCTGTCATTAATCACACGTGTCAGACTCACACCTGTTACTAATCACACCTGTCATTAATCACACGTGTCAGACTCACACCTGTTACTAATCACACCTGTCATTAATCATACCTGTCAGACTCACACCTGTTACTAATCACACCTGACATTCATCACACCTGTCATTCATCACACCTGTCATTAATCACACCTGTCATTAATCACAACTGACATTAATCACACCTGTCAGACTCACACCTGTTACTAATCACACCTGTCATTAATCACACCTGTCATTAATCACAACTGACATTAATCACACCTGACATTAATCACACCTGTCAGACTCACACCTGTTACTAATCACACCTGTCATTAATCATACCTGTCATTAATCAC